ACGTGTAGCCATGAAATGTCAAAGGTTTTTGTATGACTTGCAACAAGGTCTTAGAAGAATCTGGAGCAGCTTTTCATTATTTTTAGATAAGGATTGTGCCAAGATTTCAACCATTCCTCATTGAAAAAAATGCTGATTTTACATCATGTAGACTTTTACTAAGTTTTCTTGAGGATGTTATCAGATTTCTTGATAAGATCTTTGCAAGATTTTCTAAAGTGAATAGAAGAGAAATGAACACATAGAATATTAATCTTTATACCTTCAGTTGTCAAACTGATCAGTTCACCTGGCTGGATTATGCCATATTGTTATATTTAATTTCAACATTCGATATGTTAATTTCTAACTGAATTGTTAAGTTCTAGTTGAATTTTATATGAACACAAATCATTTCAATAAAATTTTTCAAATACAATAACATTATAAATATTGTTTTCAGCTGACCAAATTCCATTAATTTGTTTTTAAAAAATATATTTCTAATTCTTTTTTTCGTGAATAATTGAAATTATGAAAATAGTTTTTATCAAAAGATTTGTCTCTTACTAAAAATAGTTATTTAGTGAAAAACAATGAATATATTAAAAATATATCATTATAATATGATTTCTTCTGGATTTGAATGAAAAAATCCTTTTGTAAAACTTCTTTAGCTTTTTTTCTCAAAACACGGTTTCCAGGCAGGAAAATTGAAATAACTTCCATTCGGATCGGGATATAACCGATGGTTTTTTTTTGTTTTGAAGGTCTTAATCAGAGATAATTTTTCATTGGACGGATTTTTGATACTTGATTCCTGGACTGAGAAAAGTGGGATTTACTATCAATCGAGTCACCTTTTTGATGCTTATCTTGAACACCATGTCCATTAAAATGCTCATAAAAAATGAATGGGAGGGAGTTTCAAAATCCCGTTCAATGAAAAGTTGCGCACAGAGGCTAGCTTTAATTTGAAACCAATCTGAGCTCTGTACCCCTTCTAACGACGGAGTTATTTCAGTTCTCCTGGAATGTAGCAAAACAAGCCAGAAGTTTGGTCTAGTTAGGCATATCAGGTTGAAATTTTTACCACAAGCGTTTCTCACTAGGGCCAATTGTTCCTGAAAATTTCAGCTCAAACGGTTCGTTCTAAGTGGGAAATCATTTCTGAGGGGAAGTCCCTTAACGATTGTATACCAGAGGTGTAACCGGTCGAAAATTTTTAGACCGATCCAGTCCGGCCGGTGATCTGCCGGTCTAAAAAATAATTCCAGACCGGCAAAAAACCGGCAAGTTTATGAAATTTGTTCATATAATAAAGGTGATATTAGGAGTGAACTTTCATTCGAGATGTATATAGATTTTTACCTAGCAAAAAACAACGAATTTTTGAAAAAACTTTTATTAATTTTAAAGGAAAATAATCAATGTAACAAGAAAATTAAAATATCACTCATTAGAAAAGGCCTAATCTTGAGCGTTTTGTGCCTTGTTTTCTAAGTATTTTATTATAATTTAAATATATAGGTAGAAGTTAAATATAAAAAAAGACGTTTCGCACATTTAGAGAATCAATTTTTAGTCACTTTACCTTTACAAATAAAATAACGCTTCTCTATTGACGATGACTCGAACCTAAATTTTATCTTCACAAAAAGTGTATGAGATAAGTTTAACTGAATTAATACAGTTTCGAATGCACTTTTTAAAAAATAAAGTGCATAACGATTAAACAGATAAAATAGATTGAGGAACAGAAGAAAAAATGTATAGTTTTGGAAATAAAACAAGTTCATTATTTTGATAAAGGTATAACAACTTGTTATCAACAAGTTTTATGTGAAAAATCTGCATATTCATAAAATATATTTCAACCGGTAAAAACCGGCCGGTGGAACTGCTTCAACCGGTCCGGACCGGTTACAACTCTGCTGTATACCTCATCACCGAAAAAAAGCCATTGCCGATGACTACATCGCAGAAAATGACATCGTCGAAAGTCATATCGCCGAAATGATAGATTGCCGAAATACAGATTGCTGAATTTCGGTGAAGAACATGCTTACCTTTTAATGCTCCTATTTAATAGCGATATCCCTGATCATATAGTTGATTGGTCATTCTGTTAAACTATCGACGATGTGTTAGAGTAATGCAACCCATGGATCGGGTATGAAAAGTTGTTTTCGTGCAATACTCTATTTCAATGTTTGAATTGCTTCTTAGATCCAACTTAGTTGATGTGAATCTACTTCCTAATTATTGTTAAGATCGATCTTCGTTAGATAGAATCGAACGAGATCATTATGATATCGATTATAATATCAACTACAAAAAGAAAAATCACAAAATGGAAGTACAGTGTTTTGTTGGCAAATACAACAAATCAACTTCTTTTTCACGGCATGTTGTGTGTATTGTATTACAACTAATAGAATGAAAGTTAAAAGAATATTGTAAATAATTCAATTGAAAAAGATTTAAATAAAATCATGAGTGCCTCAAACAGCTAAATGTATTTTTAAATATAACACTAGCACTACATCATATACGATACACAAAATTATCAGTTAGACTCTATGAGAAAAAAAATATTGACACTAATCAATTTTATTTTTTGTTTCTTTTTCTAATGTTTCGATTGATTTTCTTGTTCTCTTATTAAATTTAACAAGTTGAGTCTCCAACATTATAATATTTCTTGTTCCATTGCAATCAAATTTGAACATCGAGTAATAATGATGAATGATTTAAGGGCCTCACCTCATAAAAAGTTACTTTTCATCAAAATGATCGAAATTAAGATAAACACTTAGGGAGATAGCCCATGATCTGATCTTTCATAAACGACAAAAAATTTTTTACTCGGCACTTCGTTTTTTCCAAAAATTTTTGAAGATTTCGGTCGTCCCCTATTCGAAAAATAAGCTGTTTTCAGAGAAAAAATGAGAATCTTTTTCGTTTTTTCTCTGTTTATGGTTTCTTGAGCTGGCAATTCAAATTTCTCTGTCGACACTCATTTAATATATTTAGTTTTTTTGTTTGAAAGAGCGCGTCAAGACGCAGTGCAGTACAGAGCGCTTTTTTTAATTATATATACAGATACTGATATAACTCGACACACATTTCTTAAAGGATTTTTGAGTCATTAAACTTTCGATCCCTTTTCTTTCCTTAAAAAGTAAGTATTTAAAAAAAAGAGCTCTGTATTGCACTGCATCCTGACATGCTCTTTCAAGAAAAACACCAAATATGTGGAATGAGCCTGGACAGAGAAATTTGATTTGCCAAGTGTGCTATTTTTGATCCTTGTTTGATGAATACCTCTGTCAAACGTCATGATGTAGGGCTGACAATTTTGCCATACCCTTTCCATATCAGCCCCAAAATATCCTGAAAATTTCATGCCATTTTAATGGTCCTGGACTGAGATCGTTTTTTGAGGGGAGGGCAAGCCTTAATAGACATTCAACTTGCTTATTTTTTCAAATCAAGTAGATTCGAAAAATGATTTGAATTCTATGTTGATTCTATATATTAATTACGTCAGATCAAGAAGACAAATTAACATCTATTAAGAAGACTTTCGTGAATTAAACAACCTCTAATTAGATATTAACATATTTGTAATAAATCGATTTTTCTGTTTAATTTTTTGATATCAATTAATTGTATAGTTTCACTGAACATTTGAAACGATATTAATAAATTTCAAGTATCATTAAAGCTTTGTTTTTATTTTTGTGTTTTATCTTGTATCTTTGAAATATTAACGATATTTCTTTCTTTTACTAGTTAAATGTTGATTTTGAAATGTTTATTTTTGCAGATAAAAGAAATTAAATTGTATTTTAATAACTTTTTATCTCACAAAGAAAAAGGAATAAGGTTTGGAATAATATTTAGCAAAAATTACTATATGACACTAAAATATTGTACAATATAGAAAACATATTTATATATATATATATATATTGATTATTTTTAGTTATTTATGTAAAAGAAATTCTACAAAATCCTTATAATTAATTGAACCAGTGTTATCTGGATCTGCTTGATTAATCATATCATTCGCTTCATCTTCAGTTAATTCACTATCCCATAACTAAAATAATAATAATAATTAAAATTATATTGAATTTATTTCTTTTAACTTACTCTGACAAATCTTTTAAGTTCATTAGCATTAATTGTTCCATTTCCATCTTTATCAAAAACTCGAAATGTCTGTCGAAGCTCTTCTTCTAAATCTTGTGGATTAACATGTGTTGTCATTATTGATATAAATTCTCTCATGTCAAGTCCACCTGAATGATCTTCATCAGCTGAACCAACTAATAATTCAGCTTCATTCTCAGCAAATGTCATATCTTTAAAGAAGAATATTTATAATGTATCCAATGAGGAAAATCCCTCAAGTGATTACTCGCTTTTAAGTCGAGACTATATGCATTGTGTGAATCATAATGAATTATAAATAATTTGAGAAGAGCTCAAGTTCTTAGCTGATTGCTCCTGAAATACTACATTTTTACGGTATTTTTTAAGTCAATACCAAGATTTCCTTCAAGAAAAAACTCATTTTCGAATTTCGACTTGAAACTTTGCATAGAAGCAGAACTTAATGAGAATAGATAATTTCAATGTTTCTATCCTAAGATACAGCTATGATAAAAGCTTGTCTTCTACATTGCTTATATACACCAGTAGATTTGATATTCTTATTTCATAAAAGGAGTAAATCAAAAGATTTAACACTTTCACAATAAATTATTCTCTGTAAGACTGAACAAATACCGTAAAAATGCAGTCTCTCAACAGTAATAAGTTAAGGATCTGAATGATTTTCAGAGTATTCAAAGCTCATTAGGGTCTACATGATACATATAGTTCAAACTCCAAAGCGATTTATTCGTTGAGGAATTTCCTTCATAATTTTTTTTTCTTTCGTTTCATTGAAACTACCTGCAGCTTGTGCAACGCGAACAATATCATTTGGACACACATAACCTTTTGATTGTGAATCCATAAGACTAAAAGCAGCTTGAAAATCTTGAACTTTTTCTTCTGATAATTCATTAGATAAAGCTAAATTTTGAACTCGTGTAGTGTCTGCTGATTCATTTTTGTTTGTATTATTCATAATTAATTCTCTAAAACTGAATTAGATATAATGTTTATCTTTTCTTTTTTCTTTTCATAATGACAAATATCTCACATACTACTAAACACAAGCACATCAAAGAAAAGAAAAAGATGAGCATAGAATAACATTTGAATGAGAACAAAAAAAAAAGAAAAAGAAGAGAAAGGAAGAGTATTTCGACTGATAAAAACATACATATGAATTTCATCTTTCTCTTAAATACAGCAACACATAAATGAAAGAGAAAGAAATATAAAAAGTTTTGCGACCTATTTATATATATAGAAGAATTTATTGTATGTGTAACTGTTCCGGAATGAAAATGCTCCGTTTTGTTTTCATTGTTCATTTAATTGCTTGTGTAATTCCGTTGACTTTTTTTGATGTTATTTTACCATCTTCTTCAACGGTTTCTGTTGTTTGTCCATTTTCTTCTACTCTGAAATTAAACAAAATATTTAGAAATTAAAATGAAATATTTTTAATTCAATTCTTTTTTTTTTCTTTACCGTGTTGTGACAATACGACGACCATTAATTATTTTAGTTGATTTCGTTGTTTTCTTTGATACTGGTCGAGAATTTCCATCACTAGAAAAAAAAAACAAAAATTAATAAAATGAAAATTTTTCAAAAGAATTCTAAAACAAACCCAGATGAAAAATTAATTGATGATATAGATCCAGTATGATGTCCACCAAAATCATGATCAAATAGATTATGATCAAATAAAGACATTCGCATTGGAGAAAACATACTATCAAATAAAGCCATTTGTTGTCGATGTGGATCACGTCGTGATGATAATAATGATGAACTTTGATTTCCAAAACGATGAAGACGACTATGTAAATCACCAAATGGATTCATACCAAAACCTGAAATATAATATTTTATTTATTTATATTTATAAATTAAATGTTCCAACAAATAGAAATCATTCATCTCATGCGTAATACAAACATCAATCAGGAATATTTTAGATATATGGAAACAAAAAGAAAATTTAGAAAAAAAAATTTCTAGTTTTTTTATTTATTCTCTTTGTTTCTCACCAAAATGAAAAGCATTACGTCTCCATTTGTCTAAAAGAATCAATTCGAAAAGTACGAAATATGAATTTTTCTTAATATTTCTAATTAAATATTGTTTTAATAGGAATTCTAAAACTTACCAAAATCATCATCCATGCCGAAATGTGACATAAATTGTTCAAATATATCAAATGGATTATGAAAATGAAATGTACGATTAAGAAAGTCTTCAGAAAATCTTGAATAACCACCGTTAGATGAATATGAACTATTTCCAACACCATTTGATAAACCTGCTCGACCCAATTGATCATATTTTCGACGTTTATCTTCTACAAATTATTTAAAATTTAACATTTTTTGATAAAAAAGAACAACAACGGCAGTAGCACTAGCAATCAGATAGGTTCTCAACGTCGTTTTACTTGGGATTAATAACAGTCGATAGAGCTTAGTATCCTGAGTCTACTAGACAATGCTATGAGTCAAAAGTTCAAACAATGTAAATGTTCGGAAAAGTAACATTAGACGAAATGATGATAAATGTTTGATAGCTTTCGTCAGTTCAAAATATGTAGTAGAACTACATTCGACTTCATTTTTCAAATATTTGTTTTATTGAGATTTCGACTTCGAGTGGTCTACTATAAAGTTTTTACTTTCTGTCCTCTTGATATATCATTCAGAATAACTCAGAGTGAAAACTAATAGATTGAAAATTTTAAGCTCTATCGACTGGTATATATCCCAAGTAAAACGATATTTATAGCGTATTTTACCAATACCCAAAGAATAGTCATCTTCTCCTACATTCGGAAATATATCTTCAGTTTTTTTTTTATATTTAAATTCTGGCAAACTATTTGAATTCGAACCAGTTGGAATTGTTCAATAGGATAGCTAAATAATATTATCAACAAATGAAAGAAAAAAAAACAATGATTTGAAACAATTTAGAAGATTAGTCATTCTCTTGTAAATCTAATAAAATTTGGTTTTTTTTTGTCTTAAATCGTTAGATTTGTTGAGTATCATTCAAATGTTGTATATATATGAAATAATGTTAATTATATGTATTAAATAAAAGTGATAAATATAATTAAAATTTTTTTTATTTTCAAATGTAATATTAGCAAATCAATTAAAAAACTGATTATTTAATTACTGTAAACGAACCTTATCTGTATGAAAGGAAAAAAAAATAAAGACTTCTATTGTTAATGTTATGTTCACCGTTGGAAATATTCTATCTTATTTTTCTTTTGGTTTAACTTACTATCAGATAAAACTTCATAAGCTTCAGAAATTAATTTAAATTTTTCTTCAGCTTGTTTTTTACTTGAGAGATTTTTATCCGGATGCCACTAAAAAAACAAAAGAAATATTATTTCAAATAAATACAATAACAAGAAAAAAAATATTAATAGATTTACTTTTAAAGCTAATCGACGATATCTAAAAACAATACCAGATAAATTATTCATCAAAATAGATTTCTATTGAAAAAAAAACAGAAACAAAACTTACGCTTTTTTGATTTCATCGTCAGTTGCTGTTTTCTCAATTTCGAGCATTTCATAGAAATCAGTCATGATTATTTATCCTATACAATCAGAACAAATATATATTAAAACAAATATTCTCTTTTTCTGATATTATTTAGGATTTGTTTTTTGTTTGTTTATTTACTTCCATTAGATACCTTATTTTCTATATGTCTCATTCTGTTCCAAAAAAAACAAGCCCTCCATACTTATTTAGGTATTGGTCTAACCATCGATGTTTAGTTATATGAGTATGTTTCTTGATAAAGAACGAGAAAGAAAAAGAAAAAGATATAGCTTCTTCCTTGTTTATAATAAGAGCTCATATCATGATGATCATCTTTATCACAATTTGATTAATCTATATACCTATTTTTAAATATTCGACAATGATAATGACGTTGATCAAGGAGAAATAAACCTTCACGTCACAATAATTTATTACTATTGTGATGATCAATCTAAATTGATGATAAATATACACATCTTATTGCGATACAAAATAATAGAAATACTCTTGTTTCTCTGATGATAAGTGTGAATTTATTTCTAATTAAATGCAGATATATACACACGCACACGCCCACCAAAATAGATCAATAGATTGACAACAGATAGTAATCAATCTGAAATAAATTATAGCAAAAAATTTTATTAATAGTGACCGCCAACAATCGATGACATTAGATTATGGATATCTAGGAATGTTTTACACGTAGACACTTGCCTTTTTCTTCTTTCTCCTCTACATTCTTCCCTGGCGTTTCTCCAAACATTTATCGGAAAAGATAAATGATCTGAAGCATTGTGGAGCTGTTCGCCTGCTGCGCTTATTTGACAGAATTACACAGATTTTCTCTCGTTAATCTCGAAGGATCAATAAACACACGCATACGTCAGTAGTTCTCTCGAAACATTTCCGTTGACATCAATAAAGAAAAAATAATTACAAGCTTCCTACCCAAAATTTTCTTTCTAAAAAAGGTACATCCATACAATTATGAACGCAATGAACTTTAAAGCAAGTATTAGTTTTCCTACTTTTACCTTGGATAAATCACTTTTTTCAAAGAGTAAAAAGAGCATTGTTCATATCAATAATCCATCTATTATATTAAAGACATTTATCAAGAAAAAGAACCTACGTTTCTGGTTTTTTTTTTTCCTTTATTTTAAATCATTAGAAAATCGTTATGCGTCAAATAGAACATTAAAATAAATAAAGAAATAATGATAATAAAGAAAAAAAGAAAGAATAGAATAAAATACGTCAAATATTGTTCTTAAATGACAAATAAATGCGTTTGAATTACGTACACTTATTGGTCATAATTTCCTTTCGATTAGTAAGAAAGAAAAAGGCGGCGACGAACAATATTTAGATGTCATAGAGGAGATGAAGGACAAATAAACAAACAACAGTTGAGATATTACTATTCGAGAAAATTTTCACCAATCAAAAAACAAATCTCGAATTAAATCAAATGCATTAGTGTGCCAAAACATGAGTCATGTGCTATCTAGACATAGTTTAAAAAGGACATGTATTCATGTCAACTGATTCAATTACGATGTATATGAGTAACTTTTTTTATTGAGAAATTTTGCTTCATTTGTTTATAAATAAGTTTTAGATTGTTTTAAATAAACGAATTTATTTAAAAAAATGCGTTGGGAATTTAAAATAAATAATCCATATGAAAGTCGACGAGCAGAAGGTGAGAAAATTATTACTTTAGAATTATTGAATGTTTTTTTTTTATACTTTTAATTAAACATAGGTGAACGTATTCGTCGAGAATATCCGGATCGTTGTGCAGTAATTGTTGAACGAGCACCGAATTCACGTATTGCAGATCTTCCATCAAAAAAATATTTAGTACCGAATGATCTTACAGTATATTTTGATTAGATTTAGGTTTTTTTTATATTTTTCAACTCATTTATTTATTTTTACAGGTTGGTCAATTTTATTTTTTAATTCGTAAACGAATACAACTTCGACCTGAAGATGCACTTTTCTTCTTTGTTAATAATGTAAATTTTTATTTTCATACTTTTTTTATTTTGTTATTTTTTAATTTCTTTTTTTTTTGTTAGACAATTCCAAGTACATCAATAACTATGGGAGAACTTTATCAACAGCATGTTTGTATTTCTATTATATTTATTTTTATTAGAATATATATATATTTGAATTTTAGGCGGATGAAGATAAATTTTTATATGTGGCTTATAGCGATGAATCGGTTTATGGTTAATTAAAATGTTGATCATCATTTTAGAATGTATATAAAACTTTTTCTTCGTTTTTTTGATGATGATTTAAGAAAATAAATGCCACAAGTGTTCTCATTTTGATTTATATATATATATATGTATTGAAAATAATCGTCTTTGTTTTCGTGTTTTTTGCGTATTATTTTATGTCTTTGTTTGTATTACTTTTTATTTCTTTATTATCATCACCATTGAACATATTTATTCGAGATTATAAACAGAAATTATACGCAATAAAAGCTTAAATGTAAAGAACAAAAAAAAAATATTTATTAAAATAGAATATACTCTTTTAATTCATCTGAGAAAAAAATATGACTATACAGGAAAGCTAATCATCTATAAGTAATATTCAGTGACCCGTAAAAGTAACGCATTTTACTGTTGGCAATAATCAAATCGTCAAATATATGCAAAGAATTAATCATTCGAATTTATCCAAGTTTCCTTTTTTAGAAAGACAATGTGGAAGTGTCTATCTTTGGATTCAACATTGGATAGAATACAGATTTATGAGAAATATGACGTGACGCATAAATTCTATTTGCATAATAGACAAGAACAACAACTAAAACAGATAAGAAATGACTCAAACATGATTAATAGAAAGAAAATTCAACTAGGAGTATTCAAGATGCGACGATTAATTAATATAGAAAAGTTATATGATTATTTTCAATTTTAAAACAAAACCAAGAAAATTGTCAATCATATTTTATTTGAACATACTTTTCAATATCATTCTGAACAATAATAAATATTATATTCTCTACGATGTTTTAAGATAAACTTATTCAAATTTTGTTTTTTTTAAACTCAATTCGATACAGTTATAGATGTTCTTCAATTTTCTATAATCAATAGTTTTCATCGTTGCTTTATTCATACTTAATAATGGTCCCTTTTCTAAAGTCTAGATTATTTCTCAATTATATGATATTCCAATGTGTTCAATTCTAAATCACAGAAAGGTCAGTAGCAACATGAAACTTTCTCAAAAATTATACATTATCGAGCTCTATGATCCTTCTAACCGCTGAAGAAAGTTTAGGAGTATGAAAAAATCGACTTATTCAAATGAACATGAGATATGTATGAATTCTTCTAGAGTTTCATACATGAATCACACCTAAATCTTGGGAATAAAAATAACAGATCTCCTTTCTGCAACCATAGACTCGCTTGCAAGGGTCTGGAGGCCAAAAATTTTTCCGTTTATAAAGAAGTTATTTATCTCAATTCATCAGAGATGGTTCCAATTGTTCTGAAAGGTCTTATGTATGAAACATATAGAGTTCGATAGTATGCAATTTTTGAAAAAGTTTCATGTTAGTACACACTTGTTCTGTAGTACAGAGCTACAGACATTAAAATATCATGTAGTCAAGAAATAATCTCAACTTTAGAAAGAATTATAACCAGTATATAAACCCGTAGTACATGAAAATTTGAGAAAAACTTGGTTTCTTGTATACTATTCAATGCGCCACAAATTGCTCTACAAGACCATATATATAATACCTTTGTTCAAGATAAGTCACCAAATCCTAGAAGTTTCTTTGATCTAATGATGCACATTTACGATTTTGATAGATTGTATTTCAATATTTATTTTGATGAATTTTGAGCAAAAAACTTTTAAATTACTAAAATTATTTTCACTTTCCACAAAGTAAAATTTAGTTCCATAGAGTTTCATAGTGCAAGAGTAAATCGTAAAAAATAATATCGATATACTCTAAATCCTCAATTTATAAGCAGTTAGATATTGCCGAACGAAAACTTTCACAAACAATAGGTTTGATTATAGAATGCCAATTATTATGTTTATTAATTAGCTTTAATCTATCAATCTACATTTGATCAACTTCTTCAAGACAATCTGTAAGAATTTGTTTATGTGTCATCAATCAATATATAAATAGCACAAATAAAATTGATTGGTTTTCTTTCAACTTCTTTTTTTGTATGTTAACTCTTAATGGTAATTATTGATTGAAGTTGTACATAATGAGAATCAATATTAAGCAACTAGCGTCATCAATTATTTGTTTTATCATGATTCACAACTAATTTTCCTACTTTAATCAATACTTCAAAGATAACACCAAAATCAGCTGTTTTTAAAAAATATTTATTATCATGTATTCCATTGAATATGCTACCTAGAAATTTTGATTCGAGTAAAATCAATTGATTAAGTGGATAGTATGCATAATTGTATTTGCTTGGAAGTGAATGAAAATATTTCGTGTGTTAATCCATAATTGAAGTATCATTAGAATAAATAGTTGATCTGGAATACCTTGTGCAAAAAGTTCATTGTACAAATGTTTTCTTGAATGTCTAAACTTTGTATAAATGAGAAGTGGAATACATACAATGATAGCAACAATTCCTAGTGAATGTACTGAGTTTAAGGTATCCTGCTATTAGTATGCCACAGGAACTTTTGGATACATCAGTATCTTACGGTACTTCATGGATTTGCAGCATTTGACTACGAAATGGTTCTAAATATTTAATCTCCTAGCTTGTTGAAAAATTTTTCATAGAATGCTATGGAAACTAGCTAGATACTTGTATGCATACCTGATGAATATCCATGTACTGAGACAATACGCAGCAGGATAGCAGATACACGTCTTGTGACATACTGGTAGTAGGTACCCAAAAATATGCTCTGCTCACAATTAACCTAGTACACGGCTATATTGAACTTAGTACATCTACTAAGGAATGTTACAAGGACAATCATAAATAATATTATTGTAAGAAAATAGATTAGACTAACTTTACTTCATTGTCTGTGTATAATATGTAGTTAACTTTGTGTTGACGGCGTAGCAAAAAAAAAGAAGAAAACAATAACGTATTTTGACAATTGTCCACGGTGTTTTTATTCAATTATTTTTATGTAAACCTTTTCCTTAATTAATTTCAAATGATATAATTAATACTAAAATAAAATTTTCTTAAACACAAGGAACAAAGAAAAACTAAAACTATTGAAAAACTTTAATTATTTGTTTTGCAAAGATCCATAAATTTGCCCGATTAAATTGTTCTCTAATGTATATTAAAACTTCTTTTTTTAAGACTATGTTTACATGACTCTTTGTATTACACATACAATATCTTTTGATAATTAAAGACATTTCTAAGGCAAAAAAAATAAAGTTTTTGGCAGATGTAGCTCATGTATTTTGAATATGATTGAATAGATGTAAAAATGAATATAGTTTTTTGTTGGTTATATATTATTGTAGATCAATTCTTAAGGCAATTAGTATTCCAGTCAAAATTAATTTATAATGAGTTCATCTAAGTGACACTTATATTTGTTGCCTATTTATTCTATTCGATTGGTTGACATTTGCAAATAATGATAATTAAAATGAAGATTCTCAATATTAATTTGTGCTGTTTATTTCAATTTTATCTATGGTTTACATTAAATAATCATACAGTTCTTTTTTATCATCATGTAATTAGTGAAAATGTATACTCTGTATATTTAAAGTTCAAACAGTCTATTGATATTTTTCTTTTTGTATAAAAAATTAGAATTCTTATTTTTTGTTTTTGATTATAATAAATGTGTTTGATTGATCATGTCTGTTATTGTAAACATCCAGATTACCATAAAAAAATAGTTTGCACATAAACATAGACAAATAAGAATGATGAATTTCAATCGAAATTCATTATTCTGAAAAGAGTTACAAACACTACTCGAATGTAAAATGACTAATGCATTTTAGATACATTGAACGTTCATCATGAATTGATTCTCATCAAAATCAACTGTATCAATTAACAATTCATTACAAACCTATAGACGGTTTATCATATATTTAACTATGTTAGATAGAACATTTTTTCTGTATGAACAATGGTTAACTATAAGATAATGTCCTTAGTATAATGATTATATTCTTTTATTGGTCCAGGGGCGAATGAAATTTATCTATACATGTGGATAAATCGTGCGAAGAAAAAAGAAAAACAAAACAAACTAAATTTAATTGTTATCTTCATGTTATTTTACAAATAGCATAAGTCATGACTAGTAAACATCACAATCAATCATCTCGTCGTCATCCACTTAAACGTGTACGTTTAGACAATGAAAATCAAAGATTTCTTACATCTTCAAATGGACGAAATAATAAAAAATTTTGTCATCAATCTTCTGAAGGTCATTTTCAATTATTATTATTGAAATGAAATTACGTTTTTCTCTTTTAATTAAAGATTCGGCATTTGTTGAAATAGAAAAATCATCTGATGAACGAGCATATGATCTTTTTCATAAGTAAATGATCTTCACTTTTTTTTTCTTAAGATTATTTTAATTTTTGTAAAAAAAAAAACAAAATATTTTTTAGAGAATATTTTTCTCTATTTCGTCCGTATTTTAAACATTATTCAATTGTTATACAATTCATTGAACATTTATGGTTAAATATGATTGAATCATCTAAAGTATCTTTTGTTAAAAAAAAACTTAAAGAACATGGAGTTTGTGATATATCATCAAAAAGTTATAATGATACTGATACCTTTTCTAATGATGGTATAACATGAAAAAAAAAACATTATTCTAATAAAATATTTCTTTGTTTATAATTAGAAAATGATTCACAAATAAATAAATCAATAAATGAAACAAATCGAAATATTTCAACATTAAATGCAAATAATAAATATAGTCGAAGTTTTATAAATGATCTTTTATCGTATTGTAAACATTGGATAACACCTCGATTTATTGATAAAAAGTAAATTTATGAATTTTTCTTAAGAATTATTTTTAATAATTTATATTTAAATAGTTTATCATCAAAGAAGATAACACCACTTCGTCGATCATCACGTATTCGTCGAGCACCAATCAAATGTGTTTGTTCGACATGTATTACAACACGTGCTAATGAAGAAGATCCATCTTCGACATCAATTATCAATAATGATCTACGTCAGTTTTTATAGAATTTTTTAAATTATTATTAATGAATTTTAATTAATTATTTAGAACAAAAAACTTTTCGTCAATTAATTGATCATTATCATCAACTGTGAGTTAGTTATTAATAATAAGAGTCTTTTGTTTTTTTCTATTTTTATTCGTATAGTGATGATCAGTATGCTGATATATCAAATTTATCTTTATCGATTACCAATGATAATCAAGTGAAACTCAATGAAACAAGTGATAATCAAATACAAATGCCATTATCTGAGGTTTGTTTTTATTACAATTTCAAAATAATCTAGAATGAATATTTGTAAATGATTAATTAAATAGATCATAGAAACACCAGCACATGTAACATCATCACCACCAATTATTCCAATGGTATCATTAGGCAGTCATGATCTTCCATTACCATTATTATCAAATTCATCATGGAATTTATCAATTGATCCTGGAACAGTTTTCAATGAAAAGATTCCATTAGTTATGCCTGAATCTTTATCAACAACTGAACTTCCAATACGACGTACCTATGTTATTTTGACTGAACTTGATGAGCCATTTTTTGGTCCTTATCCGATTGAATTTACTATAACAATTTAAATAACGATCTATTTTTTTTTGTTCTCTCATTTCTGATGCAGTATGAATTTTCTTTCTTTCTTTTTTTTTTTGTATCAAAGACTCTATAATTCGATTTTCCCGGTTGGTTAAGATATTTTTGTAATTCTCTAGTTAGTTTTTGTTATTCTTTTTTTTTCTGATTTTCTCTTTCATTGTTTATATTTTTTTGATATCTTTTGCGTTGGTAAAAAATGTAGTATATTTCATTAAGAATCTCTCTATATCTTTGCTATTTTGAAACTTTTTTTCCTTGTCTTGTTGATATTGTTGTGTAATTGATCTTTTTTTTTTCTATGATGAACAGAAACGATATAATAATTGTAAAGAAGTGCCATTATTTATTTAATAAAGCATCTTTCTTGACAATTGTTTCACAATTTAAAATATTGAATAAACAAAACAAATATCATCAAATAACTTTGAAAAGTGTTTATTCTGAAAAAAAACGAGAGCTTAGTAGTTTTATTTGGTCTGTTTATTACTAAATTGAAATAATAGCGTTACAGATGGATAAACACAATATTATGAATAATACATAAGTTCACTATTAACAATGATTCAAAGGAGAATTCTTTAGTAAAAGTAAAAGCGATAATAAAAACGACTATTCAATAAGTAAAGCTGGTCAACAGTTCTCTGAGAAAGAAAGCCTTCGGCAAACTTAGGTCCGCATGCGTTTTAATTAACACGCAAACTACTTTTCTACTCTTTAAATGTGATATGTATTCTAGGACAAAGTTTTCTGAGAAAAACGTCATCAAAAGCTAGGCAACTCTATAAAATGATGCAAATTTCTTCAAAGAACTTGAGATCTTAGTCGGAAAAGTCGAAATTCGATCACAATGTTTATCTTTTTGAAAAAAAAATTTATAACTCTTCTTTATAATAACCATTCGAAAAAATTTTCAGTTTTAGAGATAAAATAAACATTTCTCTGTCTTTTGATGTAACTTTTACTTCAAATGATTTAGTCTCTAATGAAGCAGAATTGTTACTAAGATACTTTCTTATTAGTTCTGTTCATCCTGCTGATATCCTAATTCGATCATTGTAGTCAATTCGCATACATTTTCCAAAAAACAACTTGTGTCAATATCTTAAATCTCTCTAATCATAAAACAAATTCCACGATTCGATTACTGTTAATTATGTTTTTCATATTAAATTCGAATAATCTGTATGAGTGATTGAATTAAGAATTTTGTTTTAATCCAATCACTCAAGCTATATTGACTTACAGATTTCTTCAACTAAGATAGAATACACACAGTTATTAACAACAGTCGAAAACAAAAGATCCTCGCAATGTCCAAAGTACGTTATTTACAATCTGTACCGGTAGAAAAGTTATAGTATAGATCAAGAGCTATCTATACATATAAGCAACAATGGGTTTACAATTTTATAGTATATCCTTGTTTTTTTAATATATTCTTCAATCATTCAATTCAAATCCATTGAAATCAATGTCCACATTATCTATTGATTTTTTTTTTGAATTTGTGAAATATTTTTCTGTCACTTATTATACAATCTTTTCTCATTCGAGATGATTTTGTTCAATGTTATTGAAAATGATTAACTGCCAACCTGTCAATATCTGATATTAGTATGCTATTCAATGTCATAAGTTTAGATTGTGCGTCTATTGCTGTGATTTCTGGTAGTTTATATAATTTGAGACGTTAATTTCTTCTTAATGAACAATATCTTAAACCTGGAGTGTGACAATGTTTAAACGATTTTCGATGTTATGCCAAGGTTATTTAGCGTACGTTTCAGTCAATAATTATCTTTGAAAGATACTCGATCGAATGAGGACATACTAGGAAAAAAACCGATGAAATCTGTAGTTTTTTTTTCATTCTGTATACTGATTTATTGGCATAATTATCTACTCTTTAATTCTTTGAAAGGACCAAATAGGGTTAGTGGCTATTGGGCAGATTTTCATAGCAATTGAAGACAACAAGCACCAGACTCTTTTCTCAGAGTTCGTTAGCAACAGAAAAGTCACTGAACAATATTAACGACAAGACTTAAGACTGTTTTGGAATATTTCAAAGTTTTTCTCCCAATTTCAATGCCTGCAATATGTTTGTGAATTTTCTAACTACTGCAGTTTTTTATTTTTGTGCAAATAAAAATTCTTCTTCAAAATGTGATGGACGATGGGTAGTGATGTTTTTATTTCCCAATATTCGTCATATGATCAACATAACAACTGTGAATTGATCTAGTTATAATTTTGGGACATAACCAATATCAATGTTTCTGAGTTTACGGAGATAGATCATAATACACTACGGTCTATTGTGGCATTAAATGACCGTGTAGAACAGAGTTATTTATCAGTTAAATCGATGGTTTGAGAAATAAAAACAGTAGTAAATTAAGAGAAACTAAATAAGGACCAAATAAAAAAAAATGATCCTTAGTTTAATGATGAGAGCTGTAATTTGACCCGAATATATCTAACCTTATTAACTAACAATACAAACACCTCCATTGCTAGTAAAAAAATAATTATTTTTATGCGTTATATGATACACATTTTAATGTCTCACATGAAAACCATTTTTTGGCATTATTTGTGACCATTTTACATCATTATTATAATTACTATTTATAAGCATTTTAATATCATTTTACCATTTTTATCTCTGCCTGGGAAAGCGTTCGTTATTATAGAAATGTAATCACATGTCAAAGATATATCAAAATGTTTTTTTAAACATAACAAAAAGAAAACTGATTATAAAAACTTTATCAGACAAAGAGAAAAATAACAGTATATAAGGAAGTGAATCAAACAACCTGAGAAATAAAGGATTCAGTGATGATAATTAGTAAGACGGAGATTTTTATGATTTATTTCCGTCATTTGTTTTCCACTTTTTTCGCCTATTGTTATCAATAAAGTACTCCTAATCCGACGATGATGCATCTTCATCGATTTTTGTTTTTTCATATATATCTAGAAAAGAAATAGTTTAGCATCAGATTATCTTACAAGACACATGTTGTAAAAGTATATATGCTTACATTTTGCTACCAAATTAATATTTAGTTGATCACTCTTACCCACACTCACACACAGACCCACGCCCACCATACCCACACTCGCACCCAATTTGCATTCAAAGATTTACTATAGTAAACCTTACTTGAAGACCTGATTATTTCATAGTATTACATACTCTATTGTGCTCTATCAAACAATGGAAATCACAGGTCTCTATCACGTTCCCTTCAAAAGTTACAAGCATTCTTTCCAAGAGACTTTATTTTAAAAATCGAAATTAGTGCGTAGACATCCAAATAACGTGGCACCAATTGTTCGTGAACACAATGGATGTCAAGAAAATTCTATGTAATTAGTTGCTATTACAACACCAAGAAGAATACTTTCCCCCCGATGATGAGAGACATACTTTTCATTTATGACCATCGAACTTTTTTTTGTCTTCGTATTATCTGAATAAATAAAAGATATTTATAACTTACCGCCTATGGCACTCGATATTGTCGATGCTAAGCATAGAAACGAATATTATACTGGCATCACATAAAACCCAGCTACGCTATAAAGTATTCATTTTGTTTGAAAAACATGAAAGATTTCCATTAGATTTGTCAAAATCCTTCAATCATGAGTACCGATAATCAACAAGCCAGAAAGAGTAAAACAAATGCGAGGATTCACAAAAATTAGATTCATCACAATAAGCGCACCAGTCAGAGTACAAACTACTTAAAACTTATATCGCTGAAAAATCATTATGAGAACTAAAAACATCATGCTCCAACTGCTATCATCTGTTACAACTGACTCGATTATACGAAAGAACACCGATGCACTAAACAAACAACTTTTACCACTTTCAGTATACCGTACAGAAACACGATGACAGTCAGTTATAATTTCGTCTACGCCTCAAAATCCTATAAAGACTAATTATAGATTATCTATTTTGTCTAAACGATCTGATTCGACCTTGGAGCAAGGTTGAAAGGCGTCATAGTTTGCTTGACATACTCTACACCCGACGAGATCCTTTGCCAGATTGAAACGCATTGTGGTCGCTTCAGTCGATATTTCGTATCTTTGTATAAGATTTATCAATTTTAAACACTCCCTTCCCCGCCACCCATACACAAAAAGAAGCTATTAAAAGAAATATCAGTAGCATTAAGTAGCAATTAGAATTAGTGAATTAATGAAAAAAGCTCAAGCCAGCAATTACAATATTAACAAGTCTGTAGGAGAATTTTTAAATTGTCAGCACCTTCGTTGACAACGGCGAAATCCAGCTTTCCGTCATTGTCTAAATCACCGACAGAAATCGAGTATGGAAGAGATCCATGACCGATCGAAAAACTCTTTACACCTGCGAAGGAGCCATTACCATATCCAAGTAACACACCTACGTTGCCTGTGCCATAATTGGCGACAATAATGTCTAACAAGGTATCGTTGTTGAAATCACCAACGACAACCATGTTCGGTTGAGAGTTAAAGCCGGTCGTAAACGTTTTTTGGCTCGAAAAAGAACCATTACAGCATCCAAGAAATACACCAACATTGTCATTGCCATGATTTGCGACGACAATATCAAGTATCGCATCTTTGTTGAAATCACCAACAGCAACAGACCATGGAGAGGAATCAGTTGAATATGTCATTTGATTTGCGAAAGAACCATTGCCATATCTCAGAAAAATACCGACGTTGTTAGTGCCTGAATTCGCAACAACAATATCTATTTGACCGTCATTATTAAAATCCCCAATAGCGAATGACCTAGGTCGAGATCCATTGCCAGTTATGAGCTTCATTGGATTTAAAAAATTTTCGTTCGAATACCCGAGATGTACACTAACACTATTCCCATTCGCAGTAGCAGCGACGATATCCAGCCGTGTATCATTATTAAAATCACCGACAGCTACAGAAAATGGGTTAGAGCCAGTTAAATATATCATTTGATTTGCAAAAAAGCCATTACCATATCCAAGAAGTACACTGAAAGTTTTGTTCTTCCCATTACCAACAACAATATCCAGATGGGTGTCATTATTAATATCGGCAACAGCTACAGAGCTTGGCCAATAGCCAGTTGAATATGTCTTTTGATTTGCAAAAGAGCCATTGCCATATCCAAGAAGGAAACTTACAGTGTTGTCCCCCGAATTAGCGACGACGATATCCAGATGAGTGTCGTTATTAAAATCACTAATAGCTACAAAGCTTGGCGAAGAACCAGTTGAATATGTCTTTTGATTTGCAAAAGAACCATTCCCATATCCGAGAAGGACACTTACACTTTTACCATAAAAATTAGTGACGACGATGTCCAGTCGAGTATCGTGATTAAAATCACCAACAACTACAGATGATGGTCCAGAGCCAGTTGGATATGTCTTTTGATTTGCAAAAGAGCCATTCCCATATCCAAGAAGGACACTTACAGTGCTATAACCAGAATTAACGATGATGATATCTAGTTGGTTGTCGTTGTTAAAATCACCAACAGTTACAAAAATTGGGTAAGAGCCAGTTGAATAGATCATTTGGTTTGCAAAGGAGCCATTTCCATATCCGAGAAGGACACTTACAGTGTTGTTATAATAATTAGCGACGACAATATCCAATCGATTGTCGTTATTAAAATCATTAACAACTAGTGACTGTGGCCCAGAGCCAGTTGAATATATTGTTTGATTTGCAAAAGAACCATTCCCATATCCGAGAAGGACACTTACAATATCGTTTTGTCCATGAGCAACAACGAGATCCAATCGAGTGTCGTTATTAAAATCCCCAACAGCTAGAAAATTTGACCAATAGCCAGTTATATATGTTATTTGATGACCAAAAGATCCGGTGTCATATGTAACAAACACATCTACGTTATCCATGTCTTCATATGCGACAACAATTTCTGAACGTTCATCTTTATCGAAATTACCAGCACCAACCACTAATGGATCAAAATTCAAACTTACTCCGTAACTTGCTTGATTTTCAAATGTTCCGTTTCCACGTCCCAAAAACGTTACAAGATTTTTAGTACCATGATTGGCCACTGTTATATCCGCTTGACCATCCTTATTGAAATCATGGATGGCTATTGAGTAAGGATAAGAATTTAAGTCTGTTGAGAACATCATTTGGTTTCCAAAGGTGCCATTCCCATATCCAAGAAGGATACCTATGTTATTAGTATCATAATTGGCAACGGCAATATCCAGTAGGCTATCGTTATTGAAATCAAAAACAACAAAGCTTTGCAAACCAGAACCACCACTAGCTGCAACTGTGGCTGTGTCTTTCAGAGCTCCTCTGTCATACCGAAGTAGTATAGATACACTGTAGTCATTGAAGTTAGTGACGACAACATCCGATCGAGTGTCGTTATTAAAATCACCAACAGCTATAGAGCTTGGCGTAGAACCAGTTTGATATATTGTTTGATTTACAAAAGAGCCATCCCCATATCCGAGAAGGACACTTATAGTGTTGTCCCCCGAATTAGCAACGACGATATCCAGTTGAGTGTCGTTGTTAAAATCATGAACAGCTACAGAAATTGGATTAGAGCCAGTTGAATAGATCATTTGATTTGCAAAAGAACCATTGCCGTATCCGAGAAGGATGGTTACAGTGTTGTCGTCATAATTAGCGACGACGATATCCAATCGGGTATCATTATTAAAATCATTAACAACTACCCATAGTGGCGAAGAGCCAGTTGAATATGTCGTTTGCTGTACAAAAGAGCCATTACCGTATCCGAGAAGGACACTTACAGTGTTATGACCAGAATTAGCGATGACAATATCTAGTTGGCTGTCAGCGTTAAAATCACCAACAGCTACAGAAGCTGGGTTGGAGTCAGTTGAATAAGTCATTTGATTTGCAAAAGAGCCGTTCCCATATCCAAGAAGGACACTTACAGTGTTGTTATAAAAATTAGCGACGACAATATCCAGATAGGTGTCGTTATTAAAATCACTAACAGCTATGGAGTATGGGTTAGAGCCAGTTGAGTATGTCTTTTGATTTGCAAAAGAACCATTACCATATCCGAGAAGGACACTCACAGTGTGATCCTCGTAATTAGCGACAACGATATCCAGTCGGGTGTCGTTATTAAAATCACCAACAGCTACAAAGCTTGGCGAAGAGCCAGTTGGATATGTCTTTTGATTTGTGAAAGAACCATTGCCATATCCGATAAAGACATTTACATTACCTGGACCCCGATTAGCAACGACGATATCCAATTGGGTGTCATTATCAAAATCACCAACAGCTACAGAGTATGGCTCATAGCCAGTTGAATATGTCGTTTGAATTGGAAAACATTCATCATAACCAAGCATGATGCCTATGGTACTGGTGTCATTGTTGATGAAAACAATGTCTGAACGATTATCTCTGTTTAAATCACCTATAGCAATGGAGATTGATGAAGAAGATCCAGTTGAATACATTGTTGGCTTTGCAAAGGTGCCGTTGCCATATCCGACAAATAGAGCTATATTGTCAATACCGTTATTGGTGACGACTAAATCCATTCGATTGTCATTGTTGAAGTCACCAATGCCAATCGCATATGGAGACGCAGCGCCGAGCGAATGTGTCGTCTGTCTTATAAAAGTTCCGTTGCTATGGCCCAAAAGCACACTTATATTGTTATATCCATAGTTTGCGACGGCGATATCTAGCATAGTGTCGTCGTTTAAGTGACCAACAGCAATCGAGTATGGATGGGAATTAGGACCAGTTGAAAACGTGATTTGATTTGTAAAAGTGTTGTTACCAGTTCCAAACATTATACCGACGTTGCTGGTGCCATAATTGGCGATAGCAAGGTCCATCTGTTTGTCGTTGTCGAAATCGCCACTGACAACCGCAAATGGAAAAGAGTCATAACCCGTAGAGTATGTGCTTGGATTTGAAAAGCTTCCATTTCTATATCCATAAAATATGCTTACACTGTGTGTGCCGTAGTTAGCGGTGACAATATCTAGTGCTGCGTCATTGTTGAGATCTGCTACATTGATCCAAACGGGGCGAGATGATGCAACTGAAAGCACTGTTTGGTTTGCAAACGATCCATCTTGGAATCGAAGGAGTACATAGACGCTGTTTGTACCGAAACTTGCGACGGCGACATCCAGTCGACGATCGTTGTCGAAATCACCAACAGCGATCATGTACGGAGCAGAGCCAGAACCGATCAAATACTTAACTGGGCTTGCCACAGTGCCATTCCCATATCTAAAATATATAGCTACATTATCAGCAGCATAATTGGCAACAGCAATATCCAGCCAAGTATCATTGTTGAAGTCGCCTATGGCGACAGATCGTGGATCATAATTATAGTCAATTGGATTGTTGGCCATTACTTTAAAATTAAGTTCACATTTTGGAACTAAGTAACACAAGAACAAAGAATTAAAGACTGATCAACTACTATGGTTCAACTATTCCTAGTGAATTGTATCAGATTTCTATAATTCTCATGATATTCTATTGGGAATCATCGGATTATAGCAAGCAAATCTGGATGGGTACAGTACTTTTCAATAGAATCTTCTTGTGTCTCACGGAATTCATTATTCAGATTACTTGTCGTGCACTTTCTTTCGTTTACTGGAGATTCGTTCGAGAAATCCATAGTGACTGAGAAACAGCAGATACCGCAACTAATATTGACGTAAAAGGAATCGTGAGCTGCCCAAACTATAAGAACAATGCAACTCTCGTCTCTATCGTATAGTTTCTACTATGAAATATCATCAATCGCTAACACAATAAAATGACGAGAGTTGAAAAGCGTTTCGAAATTAAAAGAGTTATTTTGCATTGATGATTAACAATAACAATCAGAACATAACAAGTTCTTCTACGATTCTTTGAAAATAGACATTGGATGGTACTATGAATGTGTATTAATAATTTTCGCCTGAGCAAGTGAACAATAATATATTTCTGATGTTGCTTACGATGATCTGTGACTCATTTTCGCCTAACCATATTGGATTGTTATAGTAGTACCTTCAAAGTTATATGATGATCTCTATCTTTATAAACGAGAAGATGACTTCTTTATTCTCGTGTCTCGTCCTGGGATTCGTTCATGACTAGATACAAATAATAGAAGACATATAGTTATTTGAATACTTTGAAAGTTCGAGTGGCAAAACGCATCCGTTCTTCCTCAGATCAATTAATTCGCATGAATTACCTATGTATTAAAACACAGTGAAGGCAATAAAGTTCTCTTGCGAATTCATTATCTTAAAAAGGGCACGCATGTATTCGTTCAAAGCCTTGAGAAATTCTAATAACTGTAAGAGATATTGGAGTAAAATATCAAGTTGAAATGTCATCATTCAACTTTTTCATGCATGGCGACCTATAGAAAAATATCACTATAACAGGTATAGCTCAGGAAAAAGCACTTACGGAGGAATCTCATTAACTTATACCCTCTGTTGAAGCTTATATTCTGATCATTGGTAGGGGGTCATTGCGTGGAGAAAAATTCCAAAAAGATTCATTCCATTGGCATTTCATTCCAGAGAAAAAAAGGAAAACCACTTTCTCTAAAAAGGAAATTATTGTGTTTTTTTATAATATTTTCTTTCATCTCTTAATAAAGGAACATTTCTCACGAGCTGATTTCTTTACAAACTTATTCTATGCATTACTACTTGTTGTATAAAAGCATAAAATTGTTAGCTATCTTTTTTTACTTAATAAGAAAATAAAAATGATACAAAGAGTGAAAATGAAATAAAAGATCAAGAGAATGATGAATTAATCTAATGATAATGATAGTTCGAAAAAAATAGTGAAGCACAGTAGTTGTTGCTTCAAGAACAAGGAATCATCGGCTCATCAATATAACTTTTTTCATGACATTGTCTCTTTAAACATGAAACCAAAGTTTTTCATATTCTGAAATGGACCTGGATCACGTTTCAAAAAACTATTCATGAATGAAATGTATTTTATGTTTGGTTGAAAAGCTAGGGTGTAGATGTGGTGTGGATAGCTATCGTTAACTGTCGGTAGCTGTGATTGTATTATTACAAAGAACAGAAACATTGATAATCCTAGCACTTACACTCACATCTACATGTGCGCTCTCGCACTAGTTGATGATGGCGACTTACAGTTTCATTCATCTGATGTCAGATTTAATAATACTGTTAAGATGTTGTGAAGATTACTCATTTTTATTATCGAGACATGTGAATGATGATTCAACAAAAATTTATTTACTATTTGTTCACTTTATGAAGGTAGTCAATCACTAACCAGCTATTAGTAACAAAGAAGTATCGTTTTATCCCATTTATAGAACGTGCTATTGTTTCAAATAGCGGAAAAGAAAAGAATTCACGGGAATGTAATAGAGAAATGAGAACTAGCTAGAGAATGTGAGAGAGAACATTCATGAGCCATACAGAAAGAAAGAGAAAGAAAACGAATGTACCTGGACATACTAGTAAAGTGAATGTATAAGCATTCAGACATGATAGCAGAACAAAAGAAGATATAGATGGAATACATATACTGCTTTCTCTTCTCTACGGGCAATATATAGTGAGAAAATGTAAATAAGATGGGTCCTGTGGAGAAGAGATATTTACTTTCGTCAAGTTCTATGAGAAAGTCATTTGTATTTTCTCTTATTCTGTCGCATTTCTATTATATCGAAGAATATATCGATGAGATAGAGAAAAAGAAATTTTGGATAAGCTGCTGTTATCATTCAAAGCTGTAAAAAAATACCGCTAAAAATAATAGAAGAGGTGTTTCAAGAAATCTATATCCTTAATCTGTAGAACACTGAATAAGATAAAGTTGATCTTCCTGCAACAAGTAACAATGCGTAAGATGAGTTTATAAAAAAAATCAGATCGTAAAATTATTCCTTTATTGACATACGAAAAAAATCTTTTATAGAAAACACAATAATCTCGTTTTTAGAGAAACTTATTATCTTTGTTTCTCTAGAACAAAGCCACAATGGGATGAATCTTTTTGAAATTCTTCTCTGCTCTACGATCCTACTAATAAGTAAAATAGAAACTCAAACAGAGTGTATCAGTTGAGGAGGATCCTTTGTAAGAAACCGTATCTTTCTCGTCATTTTCTTGTCTCATTGGGTCCAACTTATAAGAAAAGTAGCAGATCTATTGTTGATGATCACCTACGTTGGTTTGCGTTCGTTAGTGCTAATTTTAAATGAAAAAGTGAAGCCGTTGTAATGCTTATAATTCTGTCTTCGACTGACGATTTACTTAGACCATGTTGGCATGAAATATTATCAAAAAATGGAGTTTTTTTTACCAAAAATTCACAATATTGATAAAAAAAACTTGTCAGTATGATCCCATCAGGAGTCGGAATGTGGAACTCACAAACTCTGACTGTTATAAATTTTTTGTATATTGTCAGAGATTTTAAAATAATTTATTTTAAAAAAATGCCAAATAAAACGAAATGCTAAGAATTTTTATAGTTGATATGTGCGCTCTGAAATTTTATCATTTCGAAAATGTTCGCATATATAATTACTTTTCTACCAATTTATATGATTCATTTAATATCGTTATACGGTAAGAACCTTATTTGTATTGTCAGATACATCTTCAATATATAACTTCTATTTCCCTAATGATAACATATGTATACGATACATGTCACAAAAAACAGCAAATATAATTTTACTCTTCGTTTCGTCGGTACAACTACCGTATTAGCGTGCTATAGAAATTGATTTTATCATTCAGTAATCTATTGTGCACACTATCTTTTCTTCCGTCGAATTTCGACATATGCTGCTGAGTTTTGCCTAAAATTAGAATTTGACTGTTTCATATTTGTCTACGTCCGTCCTATCTGATTCTGATAGATCAAAAATACGACCGTCCTATTAATTGACACCTACAATAAGATCTCATCGCTGCATGAAAAATCAAAAACCACAAAAATCAGACTACACAGTTAGAATCCACAGATTTTCAGAACGATCTAAGCACTATATTACTTAGGTGCCATGTCTTGTTGCTATGGAAACATGTTCCATCATATTTGCCTTACTTCCCGCACTGTTGCTACGGTCTGTAATAAAGGGGACCTGGGGGAGCCGCAAAAACCTCGATGTAATCTGACATTCGCTATTATTTTCTTCGGAAATACACCTGAGTTTCACGAAAGAATCGAATTAACTGTGGATTTTTATCATACTGAATACGAAGAATGTAAAACAACAAGAACATACCTGGTGATTTGGATGCAGTAAAACAAACTACCAGTATACCAATGGTCATAGCTATACTTGTGAACATAGGCAATATAAAGACAGGTTTGATACTTAATTTCAGTATTGACCAGAGGTAATATTTCCTAGGAAAGAATAACAACGATCATATTTGATATCAAAAGAAAAAGTCATACATTATCTGTCGAATCGTGTAAGTTTTCATTCGATCGATGGTGTTATTTTGAACATTTCTTACACTTTGTGCACTTAAAATTGATTTCAGCTTCTCGTTTGCATTGAGGGAAACACTCTTCTTAGGAAGCGAGGCGTTGATCACTTCAGCGTTCCCATCCCTAGGAACCATATCAATCTACGAGGAGACAGCAGTTAAAGAAGAACACATATCTGATATGAGCATATAAGTATATCTCTAAAAATCGCGAGCTTCTAGAAGAAACTGTCGATACAGTAGTTTTATCTAATTCGTTCAGTCGATATATAAGTGTGCGACTTTTCTGAGCAGTTTCAACGATTTTCAAGCTATCAAAAAGGATGTATTTAATAAATTGAGCAGATTGCACAAGATTTTTGGCAATAAACTTACACTTGATCAAAACAGTTGCGTGAATAGTGTAGTGTATTAAAAGGATTATCGAAACTGCTGTTTCCAATGTTTGTTTGGCCAACTGACACTTATTTAGTATTGATTGATCTCTGCCAAAATTAATAGATTGTTCTCGCTATTATCAACAGTTTTGCATGGACATCTTCAGGTCTAAGATTTTAAATGTGTTTCCTATCCATATTTTTTCAAATAACCAACAGCATAACTTTAGATCCTTCGAGCCTTCATAAAGGTTCCAGGATCATCAGTTTTGGTATTGTGGTCTGAGCAAGTAAATATGTCGTTGGGTTTCAACATAGGAAATACATAGCGAAGATATTTTGTTCTCTTTCAATGTTTAGAAAAAAACCTATCGAAATACATCGCGTCGCGAACTCACTTTTCTCTTTTGAATGAGTTTTGGAAACAAATATATTAAAAGTATCCAAGCGAAGAAAGTTTTTTTTCGGTGGGAATTGCAAGATTTTATTTAGATTTCTTAAAGACTAGTATCAATATTTTCCATGCAAGTCATTTCCAGTTTTGTCTGAATTTTTACATACTTATGCCAGATATATTCGTTCAAGGTCAGAAGATTATGAACTGATAATATTTCGACAAAACTATATCTCACTGAGATGAAATGTTCTAACAGGAATTGTGTTTCTCAGTCTTCTTTCTCAAGTTACGATTATTTTGGATACTCTTTTCATTGACATTAAGGTGGCAATAAAATCGAATGATCGAGCTTATAGTCGCAATGATGTCTATTCATAGACATAAATGACAACGATTAGCTAGAAAAGTGTTGGTCATATCGATTTGCTATACAAATAGAAGACAATGCCGCAAAAAATAATGGTTCCTAACGGAAAATCTACATAGACTACAATTCAACACAGACAGTTAGCTCTTGATATGTTGTTTTGAACGCTTTTTATTATAGCTCGTCGACTACTATTAAAAAGAACGCATGTGTAGAGAGTGGATTAAGTATTAATCATCGACACCAGAGCTGTAATAGTTCTCGATCACTTATCAACGGAATATGAAAGCATAAGTCTTCGCATAGTACTGATGATATACAATCCCTGATGAAAGTATCTGATTGTTTTCTTGTAGAGTTGTTTTCAACTACCCTGAATTAAGAATCATCGTAATTATGTTATACGAACCATGTTTCACGACTTAGGATTATTCACTTTTCATGAACTGTTTTGGTTATTAATATATATGATCAAAACAACTCTCAATTATGATATTGTGTACTGTAGCCAAGATCACAAATTTCTTGAAAAGATAATTCGAAGAAAAAGTATGCCCATAAATGCTTTGAAAGGAACTAAAAGAGTATGAATCATCAATGTACAAGACTACTTGGTAAAATATTTGATGAAATAAAAAATTGATTATCTATATTCTACAGAATACTTTCAGCAACTAGCAGAGCTATTTATGTATACTAAACACAACATCCACATCTGAGTAACTCAAACAGCAGCGATGAATGCTAGTACTTTCACGCGCTAGACGTCAAAATCTCTGTAAACTAAAGCTGCCACCGTTTAAACAGTACTACTCGATTATTACTAAGTGACTGTGTGAAGAAAATCCGTGTCCTATAGTCTTTATTTTCGATTTTCTATGCAAAAATAGATTAGTTATGAAGCACTAAGCATTACTTACCTCATCCACATGGGTCTGCATCGTTCACCTATGTGTTTATGCGCACTTTTGATCAATCAAGAAATTGGCGTTGCTACCACCTGATTGTCTCGTATCAAGTGTTGTTGCAGGGTATACAAAAAAAATCTCTAAATAAAAAATTAATTGTTTAAGCATTTATTGCCAATGATGAATTATTGGGTGGTACAAATATAACAGGTGTTTTTTTCTGTCTTTGTTTTTAGTGTACAATGTGGAAGAACTTTCGAAGCCTCTTTCCTTATCATATGTGGCGTATATTTGTCTACAAAATGGTATAAAAAGTTTTATCAATACTCTATCCATCATTGAGTAACAGAGAACGGAATCGTAACATCAAATATATAGAGCTTTCTAGCCAATCTTGAACATTATTTTTGACAGTTAGTTATGATTCTTCTATGAGGTTTTATTTGAGTGGAAGCTGACTTCAATGCAGTGTATGAATTAGTAAAAATCACTTCGTACTATTAATCGTATAATAAGGAAGATTTGGATTAGTAATCTTATAAAAAATGCGTAGCTCTAAAAACGATAAACTCATGTTCTGATAAGAAAAAAAATGCATCTGCATTGAAGGTACTTTCAATAAATAGAGTGATTGAGTTTACACTTCTGCACATCAATATACAAGCACACAGGGACAAAATGATGCAACAGTAATTTGAAGAGCACTTTTCCGACTTTCGGACAGAAGATCATTGACCTGTGAATAGTCCAGTTCTCAACCCACTGAGTTATTGCATAGGGGATAAGTTGGGCCAACAAATGGATCCAAGTCGTATAATGAACAGACAATTGTTTACCAATGAAATAGAACAAGACGTCGAAAGATTCGATTTTAAGTCCTGTTTCGAAGTACTTTCAGCTGGACAAATCGAATTTTTTTATTGAATGCCGCAAAGCAACGTAGGTTATGTTTTTTCGATTAAGTATCCAATTTCGGGGAGCTTAGAAGTATGTCACTTTAGCATATCAGAAAATATTTACGATAATAACAAAATGAGAGAAAAATTCACTACGACACAGGGCAAATCATTATAGAATGCCCATTATATTTTTGTATCGTATATTGAAGTGCTTGGATCATTGCTATAAAATAATTAGATCGAAAGAAGTGTACATTTTATCTCCTTCATTCCTTGATTATGAGAATATTTGTCAGCCTGAAAATAAGGAGATATTCAGACTAATATTTTCTACATTGTACGTTCGACTATTGTTGCAGTGTTGACTGATGCATGAAGAGTAGGATTATATATTCGTATGGGATCTTTTTCTTCTTCGTAATGTACAGAAACTTAGACAAATACGTTGCCTTTCCCTGTACAGATAGTAATCGTTACATTACTAATTAAACGAAGAATAAGAGATAGATATAATTTTTCCTCTGTTCGAAGCCTATTAAGTCATGGTAAATATGTGAGTTTCGCTTTTTTTCCAGTGAAAGGCTCGAAGAGCAGGTTGTCTTTCTATCATCTTAATAATAAATTAAAAATAGAGTAAGTATTTAGCAGACATGTAAAGAGATATGCTTTTCTACGTCCTACTTCTAGACATTGATGCTACCTATCATTATTTACAAGGATATTTCGGCCAAGAAACAGCTGTCGGGAGCACGAAAATGTTATGCCAATCCTAGAAAGTAACTCATTTTCCACAACGGAGTGAATAAATTTCATTGAGCTCTGTTGGTGATCGCTCTACCAGAGATGGAACCGGTCTACCTTTTTTCAGACCAGTACCGGTGCGGGTCTGGAGAAAGGTAGACCGGACCGGACCGGTCGGTATACCGGTTTGACCGGTCTACCAGTCCAAACCGGTCTACCGATAGTGACAGGATACTGGTGATACGCCAGCTTATCAGGAAAACCCGACCTATCGATAAAATATCGATCTACAGACAACAGGCTGAAGCTTAAAATGAAATCTTGTGCAGTGAACTCTCTGGTGGGTTACCTTCGAACCTTGAATACAATCATAGAGCAGGAAAGTGAAAAGTATAGACCAGTATAGACCGGTTTGAACCGGTCAGACCGATTTGGACCGGTAGACCGGTCGATCCAAAATCCAGACCGGTACCGGACAGGACCGGACCGACCGATAACCGGTAGCGGTTCCATCTCTGCGTCCTACCCAAATCATGATCTCTTTGAGATGCGCTTGGTTGTATGAGCAGTTGAGGAGAAATGTAAAGTTTCCGTATTTGCTTTGTTAATGAGATGACGAGAGTGAACTAATCAAACATCAGACAGAACCCTGTTCTGCCTGTATAAACGCACAAGAGGAAACAGGATGTCTTTGTTTGTTACATTCCTTCTTCAGAAATGGAACCGATACCGATACAAATTTCAGACTTGCTGGTCTGCCAATAGACGGGTTCTCACATTTTCATCGGCCAGACATCCGTAGATCGGTCTTACTTATCTTAATACTCATATAAAACAAGTTTACTCATAACTTCTATCGGTTTTCGTGATAACTCGTAGAACTTATAATAAAGTTTTTTTAAAACTAGGTCATGTCAAATAGCATTGTCCTCAACAGGGAACTGGCACTAACAACTATGACTAGGAGCAATATCGTCTCAGATATCAGATCGGCCAGTCGCTGGTAGACCACTCGATTGCTGACAGACCGGTCGGTTCAATTAAATCTGACCTATACAGGTTAGTACTGGTACCGATCTTCAACAAACTGAACTGGCTCTATCTCTGTCATGCTTTACTCAAAATAGCATCGGCAATGGCGGCTCCGACCTTGATCTCTTCTACATATTTCAGATTTTAGTGTAATTACTGACTTCGAATTAAAAAGTTTCGTTTAGTCTGCGTCATATTATTATTATTACAAAAAAATACTTGATCGAGCTGTATCAAATACAAATGTAATGATTATTTTGGAGCACCTAATAACTCTGAACTACTGCATCTATTTCTGTTTAAATTACATCGAAGGAAAAAATTTCTTTATCTTATTTCATCACATGTGTGCGAAGAATATTATGTCAACAGCAGAAAGTATCTAAGGCAAAATTGCAGTCGATTCTGCTATACGAAGTGAAGCTTCAAGCAAGAATCGACCAGCATGTTTGTAAATAACACTTATGTATAAAAAGTAGAACACAAGAATTCAATCAAGAAGATGGATTGTTCAAAAAAGTTTCAAAGAATAGGAGATACATTCCGTATTCTCGGCTCCTTCGTAAGCTGCTGATCTTCTTGCCTATTCGCGAGAACGAAAATAGAACAGAATTTGGAATTATGCTATTCATCAGTGTAACGATCTCTAACATGAACGTATATCATCTAAATAGCGCAGATTAAATATAAATAGTATATCCGTAATTACCGTTAAATAATGCCCAAGTATTATTCAAGTCAAAAAAGAACGAGAAAATTCACTAGCTGTAAATCCAAATGAATGCAAAAAATTAAAAATCATATGAAGAAAAATACATTTATTATCCTCTTTTATAATAGTGATCACTGATGCATAGATTTCTTTTCGCCCATCTTAATGAAAAACATGATCAATCAGACAGAATAACTCGTAGGTTACGTGTTTTTCGCCTCCCACGAAACGAATATTACCTTCAATTAATGTATGAAAAGAGAAACGAAAAGCATACTTTCGTCATCTCTCTGACGTTAACGAAACATGTGCAGGTAATTCGATATGACAGCATGTTTACATTACGATTTTCGTTTTTCGTCATATATGTGATCACTGCTTGTTGATATTTTCTAACATATACAGAGAGGATGAGCGACGCATGTGCAGACTATTTTGAGAGTAAGAGTAAGAGCTTTCAGAGTGTTTAAATTTAATATGTCAACAATTTTCTTAATATATAACAATAATAAGAATAAAAATAATGATAAACTGCTTTTTCAATAATATATAAATTTTTTTTCTTGATTTTGAAATTTTTGTTATTGGTAAGAAATATTAAAACAATAAGAATAAAGAAAACAAGGAAAAAAATCACTGCTTGAATAATAAAAATGAATTTGAATGAGAGATCTTTCGAATTTATTACTGTCAAATGGTTTTCTAAAAACAATTTATCAGGATGAAGCATAATCAGTGCTTCGACAAATAGTGTGCAAGATCAATTGCAAACAATATAGAGAATTCATTAGTTGAGTGTAAGTTTACGCATGAGAAAGATTGAAAGCGAATCATACGACATATATTGACAGTTGCTCAAACTGTCAATGATCAGATGATTTTTAACTCTACTAGCTCAAATGATGCAAAATAGTGAATCATTAACAAAATGCATGTATTTATACAGAATTCACTACTACAACTTAGTGGAAAATTTTAAGGGTTAAAATCGATTAAAATTTCAAAACTCTATGAGCCTAATTGAATTATAATTTTAATTTTGTTGTACAATCATTCAATTAAAACCTTGATATTGTTTCACAAAAAAATCAGATGATAATTTTGATTACAACCAGTTACAATTTTGATTTTGTTGCACAAAAATTGGATTATTGATCTCGATTATTCCCATAGAATTTTGAAGCTTTAATCGATTTTAATCACACGAATTTTTCGCTGGGTTATTATCTGTTAATCTGCTTCAATCTATTTGATTATCCAAAAGTAGTGGCGGAGATACTTTTTTTCTTATAGAAAGCTTCAAAAAATTGTCTTTTTTATGAACAGATAAAGCGTCTGTTGTTCTATTACTCATGCTCTGCACGACTCAATTATCGTGGTGCAGGAACTTTTCTTCGTTGTTCGTTTTATTTTGTGTTCATTAGAATACTGTGTGTTTAAAAAAACCAGCTCTTAAAAAAATACTATTTTTGTTTATTCAATACATACTTGTAAACGTTCAGAAATGTTATATGCATTAGACCAACATAAGATAATTAAGTTGAAAGATGTAAGAGACTTTGTTTTTGCTAATTGAAGTAAAAATTCAAAGAGGTTTGACATTTTTTTACGAGTAACAAATGGCAACAATGAAGAGTTTGAATTGGATGGAGACAAGAAAGATAATGATATGGAAAGCAATGGACAAGATCAATTCAATCATAAAGTCTTGTGAGACTTTGAAAATAATGATGACAATAGCGATGAAGAAGCATTAAATTTAAGAATATCAGACTTCAATGGAATAAAACTAGTTGATGATATTGATTAGATACTGAATCGGTCATATTTCAAGATCAGAATATATGAAAAAATTAAGTATCTTTACAAACAATCAGCCTGTTGGCTGTTATCGAGTAAAATAGCAAAGTTATCCAGTGATCGTTTATTCGTGTAATGCAGAAAACAAATAATATTGATTGATATATTTATTTCTTCCGTTTGTTTCCTTTTTATTGATAATATTTTCTCTGCATTTCAACTCAATAAAGCAGCTTTCATGTTTTTTCAATTTAGTTTAATTTCATTTAATAGGCTTTCAACATTTTCCATGAAATTAAAAAATTAGAAAAATGGCATTTACGATGATGAAACGGCCAAAAAATTGATGCAGTTTAGATTTATTGATTAAAATAGAAATTTTGATGAATTTCATTGCATGATTTTGATAAAAAAAAATCAAATTCATTGCATTTGCTTGACTAACATGTCGCTTTTCATCAATGAATTTGGCAAACACTAATTGTTATATTGCTTCATCATCGAAAATACCATTTTTTTCATGTTTTTGACATAAAATCCATGAAAATCATGCAATTTTTTAAATTTTTTAACACCATGGGTTTGAAGACTTTTCGGAGTAGCTTCGCATACTTCTCGAAACTTAAAAGTACTTCGCAATACTTCGAAGGTACTTTAAAGTTGCCTGGAACCACTTCTCGCTACTTTCAACATACTTGGAGTTACTTTTATATACTTTGATAAACTTGAAATCAATTCGAGTTACTTTTGTTCTTTCATGTACTTTTCTACTTCAGGTACGCCTTTTTCCCCTAGACGATGACTCAAACCGGTCTACCGGCTGGTCTGACCGGTTTAGACCGATACTGGTATCGATCTGGAACAATCCTACCGGTTGCAACTCTGCCTTATAATTTATATTAATTACACAATCAATCATCAATGTTTCCCACATAAAATGTGTGCCTCCTTTATCTGAATCTGTCAGTAATCGCTGTTGTGATAAATTAAAGATACTTATTAGAATATCATCAACATCAGTCAAACTCAAACCAGAAATTTCTTCACACTTAGCATTTAAAATAGTAAACAAAAATTTACTAAGAGCTATCAGTGTTGTCGTAGGTGAATTATTAAACAAGTTATGAATATCAAATGAGAAGACCGGTCATTTATTATGAGTCCTCTGTTAGTCTGTATATGAAAATCAAAACAACACTTATTTATCATTCTCGGATGTTGCTATTCGCACACGAGCTATCCATCTGTCATCCTTTCGTCTCCCTCTTTCTTTCTTATCTTGCATCACATGATAAGAAAGCCTGCAATTTTTCTCGCACTCTAACAGTACGGGGCAATGGTCGAACGCAACAGAGACTTCCAGAACGACAAAAATGACTTACAGTGACTGTGAGTGACTTCTTTTTCTCACATCTCAAAGACTTTTATCGTGGATAAGATAAGAAGTAATAGTATCGCTTTTGTGTCATTCTCTCTTTCACTGCACGCACCTACCCTGTCTACGTAAATTGCCTCGAGTTACGGATGGCCGTTGATATCACCGGAGAAATCAAGTTTTTTAGTCACACAACAGACGGATCTTTTCCATGGGTTGATGTGAGTCCTAACTTTAGCTTTGCCAACACGAATTTTGTAGAAAAACCCGTTCGTGTTACCGTTCACGATTTGCGGGACAAAGAGAATAGCGTCGATCTCGACACCAATGGTTTTGAACTGCTAAAATATGATGGACACATACACGATAGATTCAACGATGACAGTGAGATGCAACAATCTTACTACGAAGACATTGCTGCATTACTCAAAAAACGTCTGGGTGCCTCCCGTGTGATCGTCTTCAATCATATATTCCGCTCTCGAGGACCACTGCGTACTGCTGATCAATGCGATTCGACTCACAAGAATCCTGCTCTCGCACCACATGTGGACTGTGATTCACCTGCAGTTTTCTTGAAAGTAAAAGAACTACTCGGCAACGAAGAAGCTAAAAAAGTGATGCAGAATCGCTTTCAAATGATCAATGTGTGGCGACCATTGGGCCCCAATCCCATAATGAACATGCCTTTAATCATTTGTGATTATCGTTCATTTGATCTTGACAACGATGTTCATGTTTCAGAGATTCGGGGGTCCAATATTAATACGTCCGGCTATCAGATCTCGTGCAACGCTCCAGATGCTCAAAAATGGTACTACCTGAGCCAGATGCGATCGGACGAAATGTTTCTCATCAAAATCTTCGACAGCAATCCCGATGTTGCCCGATTTGGTGCTCATACAGGTTTTATCAATGAGCATGCACCTCCAACGGATCTTGAACAGAAAAGTATTGAAGTGCGCTGTTTAGTCTTTTATGATCAATAAGAAATAAATTCTTACCCAATGAAAAGCGCTCAAAATTTAGTCTTGCTCATAGAAGCCTGAGGCCAGTAACAGTCCAAAGTTTCGTATAACATTATTTTCAATTATCAAACTGTGTTTTATGAAATATAGACTAGGTGACGGCAATGCTGTCAATATAAGAGCAAATACGGAAAATTTCAAGAGATGATTCTCAATCAAAACGTAGCTTAGTGCTATTTCGAACATAAGCATGCAACAGAGTTGTAGAGAGGCGGTGATAAAAATATTTCCAGCTAGATGTACAAAATTATCTTACTTTTCATCGTTTCTATGCACAGCATTCAGAAAAAACATAGTGAAATGAAGTACATACTTTTGTGATGCCAAATATCTATCTTACAAGTAGAAATATATGATTTATGGCAGGCAAAATTTATCTAGTAAAAGCTGTCGCTGTAGGCGTCTTTTTAACACTGAACTAATAATGTTTAACTCGAATCACTCACAATTCAATCAAATGAGAAATCGTTTTATAAAGTTCCAATAGAAAACAGTTCAGCTTCTAATTGATTGTCTATTTTTGTCGATCATTTCTAAACTCGAATCCAAGTTTGACGAGCACGTCGTAAGCATTGCTACGATCGTAAACTATCTATGAAATGTGTTCAAAAACATGATCAACTTTCGAACGTTGTATATTTCGTTTAAATATGATATATACAATAAACAACATGATGTTGTCGAATGATTGCGAGCTCATTCACCATCGACATGGACCAGGATATGGGTCTGTTTACAGAGGTGAAGAATAATTCTACCAATTCATACGACATGTTTCACATGGAGTTGTGTTAAAATAATAGCATGAAGCATTTTGTTCTGTAGTGCAGTTTGAATGATTTCTAAGGAAAAGGAAGGTATTTATGAGTGGAATGAATGATTGTGAGATTTTTTTGTCTTTGAAAGAGTGATGATTGGAAGTGGATATGGTTTCCTAGAGTAGATCATGTGTGTTTATGTTAAATTTCAAGCATCGATAGGATATATTTTAGCATTGTTTTGGTTGAGCGTTATAAATCGGAAATTTTATTGTTCGTGATTTTTTTATGCCTTTTGTTCAGGTTACAATGTTTGTTTCATGTAGTGAATTATGTAACTAAGAAGAAAGATTGTTTTGTTTGTAGAAGACGCATTGAAATGTTGCTTTGATTCATTTTATATCGATAGATACAAAGGAACTTCAGTAGAATGGCATGAATTTTATCCATGTTTGTTCGCGGAATACTTGACAAGGAAGTAGAAAAGATACTGGTCAAATAAGAAGAAAAATCTGTATGGGAAGTATAAATAGATGGAAGAAAGTATTACGTTGCAACTTGTTTCATTGTTAGAAATCCTCAAGTTACAAATAAACTATTGCTTTGGATTGTTTTTAGTCCAGGACTTGATAAGGACGATTTGTCATATTGTGTCCTTTCATTTAATGCTTCGTATATTGTAGATAGAACTATTGCGATCTCTAAGATATGATTATCTATATAGCATTGAATGTATCAGTTTGATATTCAATAGATATAGTTATTTTAATAAATATTGAATTAAATGATAAAATATCAAATACCATAGTTGCTGTTGAATCAAATACTAGAGCAAATGTCCCTAATATCGACAGCAAAAAATTCACTTATCTTG